CTCTTTCCTATGCACTCTCTTTCCAACTATTCTAACAAGGTTTGTTTTAATGTATTCTAGGATCTTGCGACGAGTCAGTCGGAGCGAGACATGGCATGGGTAAAGAAAGTTGGAGATGACCAGTAAGTGCCTTTTATGTCAAAGTTTGGGGGTGGAATTCCTCCGGTGTGTGAATGTGCAAGCAGGGTGTCCACAGAACTCTGAGCCTTTGGGATGTGTCGTGGAGAGACCTCATGGAGCTGGGTGGTGGGACCGCAGCAATGAGGGTTATTTATTGTGAGGGTGTGACAGAAGATTACGAATCCAGTCGTGCAACTTGGGGTGTAAGAATAACTGGGAAGGGTAGCATAAAGTGGAAGGAACAGCTTTCTAGGAAGACACAGGTCACGGACGAGGGGTTGTGTAACTTCTTGTGTAGGAATATCTGGGAAGAGTCATATGTGGCAAAAGGATATCTCTTTGAATGGGGCATCTGTGGTGTAAAGACACCTTAAAAAGACAGAACGTGGCACCAGGTTACCTCATGGAACGAGCATCGTATAACTTTGATGTAATTTAAGGATATCTCGAATAAGGAAGATGGGCTCCGTGGGTAAAAGAAAAGTTACGGAAAGGAATCATCTGGTAGGTTTAGGTGTTTATGATATATGCATATGTGAAAGTGATGCGCGCTAGGGTTAGGATACAGTGCTGGGGTGTGATGGGTGGGGAGGGACATAATTCAATTCAATTCAAAACCTTTATTGGCATGGATCAGAATCAGAAACAGTCACCCTTCAATTCATGGATTTAACACACAGCTTCCTCATTATAAGGCCGTTACAGAACTTAGCCACCGCTTCAGTAACCACTGTATTTTGTGAAGCCAATAAACGGTACAACATTCTGTCATCTGATTGCTTGACATCTTTCTTAAGTATGGCTTCTAGACATAAGATCGTGTGCTTTTTCTGAAGCATGTCTGAGGGTCTGGTCAGTACCTGTATGAGAGACATTACGGCAGGGGTCTCCAGTGCGGTGCCTGTGTTCCCCATGGTGTCCATTGTCATTGACGCCTTTTCTGGTGCCCACCACATGTTTTTAGAAAGCGGGCAGGCCCAGGTGGAAGTTTTGCCTTGGGTAGACTTCTGATTGGCCGCTGGAGATTTGCTTGGCTGTACAGATTTCTAAAAACATTGCTTTGGCTGCAGCTGCCGCGGCGGCACAGCACAAGGCCCCACACTGCGTCACTGAAGTTAAGCTGTGGCAATCTTCTTGTGGCCAGCTTCGCCTCCTGCAGCAGCCATTTTGTGGCAGCCGTTTCATTGTCGGTGCCCACCGTGCCAAGTCAGACTTCCAAATGTGCCCGCAGGCTCAAAAAGGTTGACCCCCTACAGTAGGGGGAGCCCTGTATATGCCTCCTTGAGCTCTGTAATGGAAGGAAGGCAGAGATACAACTAACCTGCTCCCCTGACCACTCACATGAGGAGGTCAGGTGGGTGGGAGCCCATTCCAGGGCTTTTTCAGCGGTGGTACCATTTTTCTGGAGCGGACGCCTGGTAGAGATTCATACCGATTCCTCCTCCTTTGTCTTCTGCAAAGCATGTGACCCAGCTTTTCTTTTTTAAAAAGCCTTTAGCTGGAGGTTTTTCCCCGCCAGCTCGATTTGCCATCTGGAAGGAAGTTATCTTTCTGTCGAATATGGTCCTGTTTCTTGAAATGTTAGGCACCGTTTCATGAATAGCGCTTGTTTTCTTGTGAACTGAGCCTGGAACCTGTGCTTAGCATTGAAGGGCAGGCGGACTAATAACATGATGGGAGATTGTCATGTCTGTACTCTATAGCAGTCATTAGGAACTGGATTTCCCCTGGGTTGACCAGGAGGCGAATGATTTCTGTGGTGCAACAAAAGCACAATATATTCTGCTCCTTAAAAGATAAAATATAATAAAGGCCCATCTTGCCTGAGAAAGGACTTCTTTCAGAGTAGTGTTCCAAATTCTTGGCAGAGCGCTGGACTGTCTGCATGTTACATTTCCCCTGGGACCAGTGCTCCCTCTAAGCTGTGGAGTCTTGTGAGCAACAATTATGCTTTGTGAGCTACTGGCATTAAAGTTGTGAGCAAAAAAATTGGCTACTGCATAAATTGGTTTCCTCTGGAGCCATCCTTCCTGAGCTAAGATAAAAATGGGTGAGCTGGAGGCTAAAAAACTGTGAGCTAGCTCACACTAACTCAGCTTAGAGGGCACACTGCCTAGGACATCCCCATGTTCCACAGAGAAGCATGCTGCGAAGTTCTGTTCCTCCCAGGCGCACGTGGACCTAATTTGGATTGGGGCCATGGTGCGTGGAGAGAGAGAGGGTTAGACTTCACTCTCTGCACCGTTTTCCTAACCTCCTTATTGTGGACTGCCTCTGTCTTGATGAATTATACATGACATTTCCAAACAGAGGAGCAAATAGTGACCCCTGGGGGCTGTTTCAGCTTGGGGAAAGCTGCTTGGAAAGGGAAGGTCTGAGTCCCCGAATTCTTCTCTAAAATGGGTTAAACCTGTGGATGCCGTAACTCCTAGTCTGGCCCTTTTGGGGGACTTGTTTGTCTGCTGAAACCCCAGCGGCAGTGGAGGAGGTTTCAAAAGAGGTGAAGTTTTGGGTCTTGTGCTTATTTTAAAAAATCTGGCATCTCGCTTTGCATGTTTTCTTTTTAATTAATCAAGGGTTTTGGGGAGGGCGAGGGCGAGAGGGAGTACAGAAAGAGGGTGTGAAGTGTGAATTTAAAATGTGTCAAAGGGAGCTGATGCGACGCCTGCCTCGGCTCTCTGTGCTTCTGAGTGAGAAAAGAGGCCCCTGGGCCATTCATCTGAGAACACCTCTGCACGGAGGCTCACAGAGGGAGAAAGGGAATGAACTGGTTTTGAATGAACCGTAAGTACATTCGCTTCCACCGATTGCCTCCCCTGTGCTGCAGAACTGCTTAGTCACTGGCCTGACTCAGCTGAAAATACGGCAAAGGCTCAAAGTGCGCAGCATGCTTCTGCCTTCCCCACCCATTTCCCCCAAGCAGGTCCTGCAGGGGGTTTGTGCTTTGTACAGCTCCCTCGTGACCCGGGCATGCTTGCCTTCTTGAGCTTCCTGCCTCTAAAGCTTGCTATGTGCAAATATTCAGCTCATCAAACTGTCCCCTTTCCCCAAAATTTAATCTTACCAACTTAAATGGTACATAAAGAAAAAAAAATCCCATCTCTTCCTTCCCTGCCCCAGCGATGCTTGCTTCAAGATATGTCTAGGGAACAATCCCCTACCCTCCGTCACCTCCACACGTTGCCCCCAATCTCCCTGTCAGTGCCACAGCGTCTTTTCTCCCTGATCAGGAAACAAGGCTCAACTAGATTGTTTAGAGCGGCAAGCTTGTTCACTCTAGGGTGGCACCATTTTGGACTGAGGGCTTGGGGTCCTCTGCTCCTTCCCCTGCTGATGTGAAAATTCACAAAGCCTTTTGCTTAGGGACGCCAGCCTCCAGGTGGGACCTGGGGATCTCCCAGAGTTACAGCTCATCTCCAGAGAACAGAGATCTATTCCCCTGGAGAAAATGGATGCTTTGGAAGGTGGATTCTGTGACATTGTACCCTACTGGGGTCCCTGTCCTCCCCTGCCTCCAGCCTCATATCTCCTGGAGCTTCCCAACCTGGATCTGGCGACCCAGCACCCCCCCCATCCTCTGCCGGTGGCCACTGGCCCCCCTGATCTGGAACCCTATGTGCCAGTCCATCTTGAAGAAGCCATAATTCTGTTGTCTGGCCATGTTCTGAGCAGTCAACCTTAAAAGCTTAAATTAACATCTGAAACACGATCAGATACCCTGTTCCCAAGATGGGGTCTTGGTTGTTGTAACTTGTTTGTGTGTGTGTGTGTGTGTGGGGGGGGAGTTTTCATTCCAGTAATTGACACAGAGATCATTTATCCGTTCATGTATTAGGAAAGTTCACCTTGAAATCTGGTTTGTTTGTTTTTTAACTACTCCAAAATTAGGCAGTGGGTTCTCAGACATCCAGCGCTTTGCTAGAAGAATCGTAGCCAAACTTTCGACTTTTCATCTAATCTAGAAGCCAGATTAATTGAGACACTTGGGAGATCTGTGGATGAATCTTCCCTTTTCAAAAGGGAAGCAGTGCCTGTTCCTCTGCTCGGCCATTGTGTGTGGGGAGGGGTTTAGCCCCTCCAACTCCAGCAGCTGAAGCCAACACACTCACATACCTCTGTGCTGTTAACGGACCCAAAAAAGTGGTGCTTATCAGTTTCTCTTCTGGGACTGTCAACCAAGGGAGGGATAGCCAGTTGGTTTTGATCTGCCGTTTCATTATAGAGGAAGGCAACCACCCTTGGCATCCCCCTACAATGCCCCAATCATAATTAGAGTCCTGTGGACCTACTATTTGTCCCTGAAAATAGTTGAAAATCCCGTTGCATGTGTTTCCCTTTATCACATTAAGTTCAGATGATTCGGGGATCCTTAAAACTGTGGTTTTGCCTCACTGGTTCTTTTACAGAAGGCCCTTTCTATAGCTGCTTCCAAGCCGTTTGAATTAAAGCTCAGTTGTTTTTATACTCTACAGCTGCAATCCTAAACAGGATTACTAGAGATCAATGGGACTTACTTCTGAGGGTTGCTCTGGAGGTGCTCGAAACTGCAGTCTCCAGGTGTCCCCAGGACTATGCTGAGATGGTATTTAACCCTTCAGCCACCTATTCTATCTCCCTTTTCCAAGCAGAGCTTCCTGCTTTGTCAGGAGAAAAGATGTGGCCTCTAAAAACTGTCCTTTTCCCCTTTAAAACAGAGGGAGCTCTGTTTTGAATAGTGAAGCTGAGTGGCATTTGAAGGGTTAATGTCCCTGGGGGGTCCCCCCCTCACGTGGTCCTGAGGCAAACAGAGGCTCCATGAGCCTCCAGTCTGCATTTAATGGAGGGAATGAGGCAGTGCTTTTACTCTCATCTGTTTGAACTCTGATAGAGGTATCCCAGACATCAAACTTGAAGGCACATTGCAGACCGTTGTAGGCCACGGATTACCATTTAAGCATCAATGGTTTAAATTATAGGGTCACATCTAAACCTCTGAGTTTAATATTGTCCTCATCTTCAGTGT